CCAGGAGACCTGAGCGGGTCCGGAAGCCCTGGCTCACCAGGCTGCCCGGCGGTTCCGTGGGGACCTAGCGAGTCCGACAACGGGCCGAAAGCGGCTCCAACCTCCGTCCGCTCTCCCCACGGAAGGAGCCGCCTGCTGAGGTGGGTGAGCCCCTCCCGGGAACGTGGCCGGGGCCGAGGGAGGCCCTGCAGCGGGCGCTGGGGACTGGACGGGGGTGTCGGTGAGACGGGGCGTCCTGGTTTCAGCCCACACTTGTCCTGCCAGTCAAACCTGCCGCTGCCAGGTGACCACGTGCCCTCATCCCCAAACCCCCTATACCCGCCCCCCGTGACCATCGGCGCGGTACCTGTCGGGGGGTGCAGACGTCCCGCCACAGGTGCAGGAGTTTGCAGAACATGCTGTAGGGGCCGGTCTTGGCGATCTTCCGGAGCCTCCCGTAGACCGAGAGCTCGGCGTAGGTCATCCCCATGTCTTCCTGCGGGAGGGCGAGGCGGGTCAGAGCGGGCGCTGAGAGCTTCCTGGGAGACAGGCACCGGGACGAGGGCCGGGCCTCGGTCCCCGACACCGACGGGCCGAGGAGGAGGCCGCTTTCAGAAAGCAGGACGGACCTACGGCCGGGGCTCTGGGTTAAAGTCCCGATGCACCAAGGCTGCGGGTTCGATCCCCCGTCAGGGCTCATGCGGGGGTCAACAGTGAACGCACAGAGGAGTGGGACACAAATCCAAGTTCCTCTCCCTCTCAAGTTAATTTTGAAAATTAAAGCCCCGGCCGGTTTGGCTCAATGGATAGTGTTGGCTGACGGGTCCTGGGTTTGATTCCCAGTCAGGGCACGTGCCCGGGTTGCAGGCTTGATCTGCAGTGTGGGGCGGGGAGCCCGCAGCCAACCAATGAGCCTCATCACTGATGTTTCTCTCTCTCTCCGTCTCCCTTCCTCTCTGAAACCAATAAAAAAAATAGTTTTAAAAAGTAAAAATTAAAAAGAAAAGACGAGCCAGAGGTGTGGCCTGGAGGACTGGAGCTGCAGCCCCTCAAAGGAGACGTTCAGCCCTAAGCTCCGGGACCTGAAAATTGTGAATTTATTTGAGAACAGGCTACCCCTCCAGGTGTAATTAGGGTCTCAGGATAAGAGGAGCCTGGGTGGAGGTGGGCCCTACATCCAGGGCGAGGGGCCCTCAGAGACAGAAGAGGAGGCAGAGGCGGCCGTGTGGAGACGGGGGAGAGGCCGAGGCGACGCAGCCACCGCCCAGGGCTGCCTGGAGGAGGCGGGAGACAGGCGCGACCACGTGAGGACACGGACACGGCACGCGGCCAGCTCCCTGATCGCAACAGAGCAGGTGTCAAGTCGATGACAGAGGGTCTGGAAAGTCACAAACTAAAATCATATGAAAAGTAAAATCCATCCTAAACAACCCACCGGTCCAGGGCGGACCTGCGGAAAACTCGCCGCGCATCCTGCAAAGAGCGAAAACGAGGGCCCCGCCCAGCGAGCAGGGGCTGCGGGGACACTGCGCTCACGAAGGGGACGGACGGCCTCGTGCGCAGGACCTGACCCCTGCCCAGGCCTCCCCTTCCCGCGCCTCTCCCCGTCCGCCCCCCGCCCCGACACCAGTGGGCATGGAGGGAGGGAGGAAATTGGTGAAACAGAACAGAAATGTGGAGAAAACCGACCGTGTGGCCCGGCCCACACAGCTCAGGGGTTAAGTGTCGTCCTGTGAACCAGGAGGTCACGGTCCGATTCCCGGTCAGGGCACAGACCTGGGTTGCGGGCTCGGTCCCCAGTGTGGGGCGTGCAGGGGGCAGCCGATCCGTGACTTTCTCATCCTCGATGCTTCTCTCTCTCCCCCTCTCCCTTCCTCTTGGAAATCAATAAAAATAAAATTGTGTTTAGAC